TCTCTCTCTCTCTCCCTTCCTTCCTTTCCTTCCTCCCTCCCTCCCTCCCTCCCTCCCTCCCTTTCTTCCTTCCTTCTTTCTTTTTTTTTTTCAAAACAGGTTTTCTCTGTTTATGTAGCCTTGGCTGTGCTGGAACTCACTCTGTAGAACAGACTGGTCTCAAATACAGATATCTGCCTTCATTTGTTTTCTGTGTGCTGTGTCATGGCTAGCTCATTTTTCTTTTTAAAAGATTTATTTATTTATTTATTTATTTATTTATTTATTTATTTATTTATTTATTTATTTATCACATATATGGAGTTCTGCATGCATGTGTGCCTGCACACCAGAAGAGGGCACCAGATCTCATTATAGATGGTTGTGAGCTATCATGTGGTTTCTGAGAATTGAATTCAGGACCTCTGGAAGAGCAACTAATGCTCTTAAACCCTGAGCCATTTCTCCAGCCCCTAGTTCATTCTTAACTATATTTCTGGACTCCATATTTTTTATTTTTGTTCTAGAAAAGAAAGTTTTTATCTGACTAGGTTAAATGGAATGAGTTCTTAAAGTTAGAAGATGGAGACCAGTGAGACCTACATCTGAATAAACCACAAAAATAATATGAAGTGCACTAACATAACATAATTTTGTAAGCCTCATTACAGTAATAATACATAAGTTTAAAGAGTGGTTTTTAAAATTCAATTAGGTGGTTATTTCTCTTGTCATTTTAAACTGTGTTGGACTCATAAGTGAGTTGATATTTATTTGTAATAGGTCAGAACTCGAAAAAAAATTCCTTATTTTAGACCATTGTGATTAATGGTGATTTATTATTTTTTCTGAATATTGTGACTTTCCTATTTGATTCATGTAGCATATTCTGACTATTTTGTATAAATTTCATTCTCTTTGATGCACAAAAAGTTTTATGTTGATTTTGATGCTGTTAATTTTTAACTTAATGCTTTGAGAATTTCATAAAATGTACTTTGATCATGTTCTGTAGCATGAATTCTAAGTGGTCTTAATAACAAAACCCTGGAGTCAGATATTGATATAAATTCTGAGAGATCAGAGAAGTAAAGAAGCTGCCACAGTCACCTCCTACCTCTCTGACTACTCAGATCAATAAAGAGCCAAGCTCCTGTCTCCACCCTGCTTTATTACGCTCTCCCCCCAGCCATATCACTTCCTATTTCCTGTCTGTACAGACCTCCAGACCTCTATGGTTAACTAATGGCAAGCTCTATCCTCTGATCTTCAGGCAAGCTTTATTTTTAGAGCACAAACAAAATATCACCACATTTCCCCCTTTTTGTCTAAAATTTAAAAAGGTTATAACTAATATAAGAAAAATTATATGCAATAAGTACAATAACTATATATAATATATACAGGCAATAAGTACATCAGCAATGTCTAGTCCATAAACATTTGACAAATTCAGAGAAAATATTCAATTATCTATCCTATCTTGGTCTAAAATGTTGTACCTAATTCGCTTTCTATCCTAATTTGCATTACCAAAACTATCTTTTAAACTTGAGTAAGAAGGAAGTGAAAGCAAGCAACTTCCAAAAAAAATGTAAGAAATGACAGAAACAGCTGACTGCCTGGATAGTCACCCAAGGTCCCTCTGCAATGTTGGGGCATCCATCTTCAGCCTATAGGCCTAGCATATCTGACAGACTTTTCTGTGAAGCAGAATATTCTGAAGGGCTGTCCTACTTTGTCTTGGCAAAGTTCAGCAGTCACTTTCTTTTGTCCTGCTTGTCCAATTTGGACAGCATACTGTCAGCAGGTAAGGCAAGGGCACTTTCTTGCCAGTGGCTAACTTTTACCACAAAGAAAGTAAACTTCACATGGAGTTTCTCCAATGCCCACCATCTTCTCTGAAGTAAATTGGTGCTGCCAAGACCAATGTCTCACTGTCATAAAAAAAAAAGAACCTGTGTTATTAAAACATCTTAAATGCCATATTCTATAGATCTCTGAAGTGTTTAAAGATGACCTGTCTATCTAAAATATATTTGTTTGACCTTGAAAACATATCTAATATGACTACAGGTTTCATTCTAATGACTACTAACGTGCATTTTTTATATTCTAATTACTGGGTAATAATAACTTTCAAGGACTAGAAATTTGCACTTGAGTTGTATAAGTACAATACCTTGAACAAGAGTAGAAATGTATGTACAGTATTTTCTAACAAAAATAATCTCAAATTTGTATCGATATACAAAGATTCATATCAATGTAAAATATTTAAAACAAGTAGTTGCTTTTTGGTTTAAAAGTAGATTCAATAATTTGCCCTTTTATCCTATCATATCTATATCCCCCTAATATATATAGTAAGTTTTGAAATAATATTTATACCTTAAGAAGTTTTAAAGAATCAAAATAAAACCAAAGGATCATGAGTTTAATAGCAATAGAATAGTGTAGCCGGAGGGCTTCTCTCCAGGTTCCCCAAGCCCCGCAATCCCACAATCCACATATAAAATAATCACTCAGATGCTTATATCACTTATAAACTGTATGGCCGTGGCAGGCTTCTTGCTAACTGTTCTTTTATCTTAAATTAACCCATTTTTATAAATCTATACCTTGCCACGTGGCTGGTGGCTTCCCAGCGTCTTCACATGCTGCTTCTCCTGGCGGTGGCTGTAGTGTCTCTCCTCCTCCTTCCTGTTTCCCCAATTCTCCTCTCTCTTTGTCCCGCCTATACTTCCTGCCTGGTCATTGGTCATCAGTGTTTTATTTATATAGAGCGATATCCACAGCAGAATAGTCCCTAATTTTGGTTTTTCTTCTCTCCCATATCAGGTGGCTCCTCTGACATGAGACAGAGATTTTGGATTTTACTTTAACAAACATGCTTCGGTTTAGAGAAGGAGAGAGCCACATTCCTACTCCAAAGCCAGTTTTAATTTTCAATTGAACTGAGACTACAAAAAGACCATTTGCATTATGTGTCTATAGAGAACAACAGCCTGGCCTACAGAGCAAGATCCAGAAAAGGTACAAAGCTACACAGAGAAACCCTGTCTTGAAGAAGAAGAAGAAGAAGAAGAAGAAGAAGAAGAAGAAGAAGAAGAAGAAGAAGAAGAAGAAGAAGAAAGAAAAAGAAAAAGAAAAAGAAAAGAAAAAAGAAACAAACATTTGGGAAGATTTAATGAATTTTATCCTGTTAGAAATGTTATATACCAATAAGCCAGTTTATTATTTTTCTTGGGACACTTTTTCTGGATGATTTGTCCTTTTCCTTCAGATGCCTCATTTGTCCAGTGGTCTTCAGATTTCTTAGCTGGATGCCTCTGTTCTCCTCGAAAAGACAAAAAAAATCTTCCCTAACCATAATTTTGGGGAGTTTCCCTCATGGCAAGTTATATCTGATCAAATGAAAAGCACTTAAATTAGTTTAAATTGAATGGTCATGCTGGTTGATGAAATACTATGTCTTCTAATTAAGAGGTGACTCTTGTTTAAATTGAACCTTTATCAATTTTGATGATATCCACAGCTTTTCTCCTGAGGAAACAAAAGCAAAACCTCTTCTCCAATGTAACATATATCCTGGTTTCCATTCTGAGGTCAACACATCTTTAAAGTATACAGGTTGATTTAATTCCATAGTTTTTTCTATTATCCATCATCTCTCCACAGCTGTCATTCCTTTTTCATTAGCATTTAGAAAATTCAAGCTATTAAAGCATTATATAACCTATTTCTAGTGGTCTTTATTACCATTTTCTGTTTATTTAGTGTATCCTTTAGAGTTCAATTTGATCTTTATAGTATATTTTATTTGTATTAAAATGTGATTTTTATGTTAATAAATAAAGTTGCCCGGGGGTCAGAGCTATTAAAGCCATAGCAAAAGCTGGGCGATGGTGGTGCACACCTTTAATCCCAGCACTTGGTAGGCAGAGCTAGGTAGATCTCTGTGTGTTCAAGGATACAGCCAGCATTGGAGACATACACCTTTAATCTCAATACCAACCATAGAAGACCTGGAGGTCTGTACAGGCAGGCAGTGACAAGGCGGTCATGTGGTTGGGTTTACAACCAATGAGAAGGCAGAACAGAAAGTCTATATAAAGACAAAAACACAGGAAGTGGGTCTCTTGGCTGAAGAGGCTAGCTGCAGAAGACCAGTAAGGCTCGTAGCTATGATCTCTTGGCTTTCTTCTTTGCATTGGTTCTGTGTTTCTTATTTAAGACGGTTGGTTACATCTACAGATCTTTCTATAACTGCTTGCCCTGTAGGATTGGGGTATACCTGCAATATACTTTATATTATAATAAGCAAAAAAAAACTGTTTCATTTTACTAGAGACATATGCTGGAGCATTGTCAGTCTTAATTTGTACAGGTATACCTATGATGGCCATAACTTCTATCAAATGAGTGATTACAGAATCAGCCTTTTAGGACTGAAAGCAGTTGCCCATTGAAATCCTGAATATGTGTCTATGGTATGGTGTACATATTTTAATTTTCCAAATTCTGCAAAATGAAACATATCCATCTGCCAAATGTTATTCCTTTGAGTACCTTTTGGGTTACTTCCTGCAGGTAGCGGAGTTTTGTTGTATAAAGAACAAGTAGGACATTTCCTAATAATTTCCTTGGCTTGTTGCCAAGTGATGGAAAAATCTTTTTTCAAACCTTTGCTATTGACATGATGTTTTTTATGAAACTGAGGCCTCCGGCACATTTCCTATCAATAGTTGATCAATTTCATCATTACCTTATGCTAGAGGGCCTGGCAGACCCATATAGGATCTGATGTATGTTATATATATGGGATGACTCCTATTCCTAATTATTTCTTGTAACTGAATTAATAATAAAGTCAATTCT